TTTTAAAAGATATGGTCAAAATAAGGCCTCAATTGTCCAATGGAAAATAGTTCAATTATAAATTCAACCTCTAATTATACCTTCCATTTGACAAAGTAATATCAATTTTGTTTTTGGTCTTCATTATGATGATTATACACCACATTTTTTAAAAACATGTCAATTACAATTACATTTTATTTTTAAAGTTTTTTTTTCTTTGCATGGTGGTCTACAATTATAGCATGTACTAACTTGTATTGAAAATTTTGAACTAAAAATAGGTTCATTATATTTTATTTAAAATAGAAAATTGTAACTTTAATTTTTTGATGACACCCATGGAAACAACATTCATGGGTTTCATAAAATTTGCAAATTCATTTTTGAAATGAAATATACAGTACCAAGAACAAATCTTCATTTAACTTGTTTCAAAAATGTTTATCTCAGGCCTCAGCTTATGAATATAGTAAACTCTCCTTTATTGGTGGCTCTGTTCACCTTAAGATCTTAAACCAATTGGAAAGCGGCAACAATGTCACATTCTCAAAGTGTTCAAGAACACTTAACTTAATGGTGAATTCTAGATAAGCATGTTCTTTAATTTGCTTGAACAGTTTTATCTTAGTATAACTAATGTAGCCTTGCTGAGAGCAAGAACAACTAAATTCATAAAATACATGTGATGATTGTAAAGTTGGTATTCGGTCCTTAAATCTAATGAAAAACTGTAAGCAACAATTAGGCTGAAACATCCATCTTAAGTGTACCTGTGGATACAACCTTCAATTGAGGTTTTTAAGCTGATCCTTAATATGTAAAGTGGAATGATGACAAGGATATTGTGGCCCTTCAATTGTACATGGTATATTCACAGTTCACTTATTTAAGTAATTACAAAATATTCCATCAATCACAAAATTTGGAAAATCATTTTTATACAAAAATTCCTTGATGTTATTAAATTCTTTATGTAAGACCTCACATGTACTAGATATTTTATATGCACAATGAAATAGTTTCTTGGCTAAATTTTTTTAAAAATACTTGGAATGAAATTTGCAAAATTTAAATCCTATATTTCTTATGACATGCTTCATATTTAAATTGACCATTATTATCATTAATTAAAGTGTCCAAGAAAAGAAAGTTTGTGGCAACATAAACTTAAACTTGTCTAGTTTCTAGTCATTGTCTTTCATAAAAACACAGAAACAAATAGGCCAAAGATGGCATAAATCAAAGCAACTCCATCAATTTGACTAATATATTTAGATAGCCATAAAACGTGGAGGTCTCATTTTTAATTTATATTTATTTTTGAAGGTGGGGTACATAAAGGAGTATTTTAATATTCTATTTTAGTTTAGTTTTATAAGGATAGTTAACTTTTTTTAGTTGTACTTTAGTCTTAAAATATGCATCATTTTTGAGATTCCACAAGAATAAATCAATTGTTGACATGAAACAAATACAGTAAATCAGCAATAATTTTAGAAGTGCTAAAACAGTTCATCTACAACTACCTGAAAATAACCCACATTTATATTTTCTGAATGAATGCAAAGGTTTAAAAGTACTTCCCTGTTTTCTCAATTTTAAATTTTCTGCTCCTCAGCTTTATCTTATCACTCTGGACGATATCAAAGAACTCAAATTGAATTACTTAAGTTTCAAATTTGATAAAAAAAAGTCAGTTATTGAAATCATTAATTTCACAATCAGTTGAGGCATTTCAATGGTTAGAACACCAAGTTTAAAAGTTTTCTTTTAGTAGAACAAATGTAGCCTTGCTGAAAGCAAGGACAAGTAAATCTATATAAACTACATATGATGATTGTAAAGTCAGAATCCAGTCCTTAAATCTAATGAAAAACTGTAGGTGACAAAAAGGTTTAAACGTACATCTTAACTGTACCTACATATACAACCTTTGAATTATAGCAAGTACTGATTTTTATCAAATAATTTGAACTTACATTCTAATGTGAATACTCCAATTATCATTTACTTGCCCAGAACCTTTGTACACATCAAGTTTTTCAGATAAAATTGTTAATAAGACAAGCAGTTGAGGTATTTTGGCTGTTATAAAACCAAGTTTATAGTATGTATTTCAAATATCTTACACTTTATTAATCATAGTGGTAAAATTCTCTTACAGGTTAGAGAAAAATAGTTGGTTAAGTTAGAGGCAATAGTAAGGTAAAAATTCACTTATAAAACAACCTAATCAAGTTATGTTTAATTATTCAAAGTATGTTTTGAGAAAAAACTTTTAGCCCATGTTTTAAAATAAAGTATCCCTAATAGGCTTAAGTTTGAGAATTATTTTGTATAATTTGAACAGTTTTTGCAACATTGGCATGTCAACCTATAGAAGTAAAAATTATCATATTTCCAAACACTTGTTTACTTGTTGCTGCTGTACATTGCAATGTGAATACTCCAATTTATCACTGATTTGTTCAAAACTTTTCTACACATCAAATTTTTTCTAATCAAATTCCAGTCAACTGATAGTATTTCAGTAATTTAAAATGCTGGTGTAATAATAGCACACTAAAAGTTGTATCTCATTTTTATCAGCCAACATATTTTGTTTTTGTTTTGTGCTTTGTTTCTGGGTAATGAAATATCATGTAGTTAAAGATTTAATAAGATTTATGTTACTCTACAAACATTACTATCATTATTAAATATGCTAAACAAAGTAAATCATACATTAAGAAATTCCTTAGAAAGTTTATGTTTCATTTTCTGTGAAGTGTACTCAACAAAATAAAGTTAACTTTGTTCAGGTGCAGCTATTATTTTTGCAACCTGATTATAAAAAAGATGGACAATCCCAAATTTTATCCAACTATCTTTTTGTTTCTAAATAAAAAAATTGAATGTTTTGAATAAAGAAGTTTTAACTTCTTATATAAAAATGTGTATATTTTCATATCATTAATAAAAATATTTCCATGCACTTAACAAATACAATTTTTGTAAATGTTACTGTTTCACAATGTTTTACAACAATTTCCAAAATTTATGCTGTTTAGCTAAAATAAAGCACACTAAGCAATCTAAACCAGTACTTTGACCCAAGAAAATTGTGTTGCTATGAAGCATCACTTTCTGAGATGTTTGTTTTGGAAATACGTGCAAGTCACATAACAAACAGCATGAAAATAATTGAACAAATACTGATAACATATAATGTAATCTATATCTCATATTATTTTTCTACTGATTCTACATTACTAGTCTAAATTTTTAAGATTTATAGAAAAATAGCTTTACCATTCTTGTTCAGTTTTTAATTAACATTCATAATGGTGAAAAACTGCAACATGGGGTAATGAGTAGGGAAGAAGCTTAGCTTCACTGAAGCTCATAATTCTGCTATAGCACTAGCATCACATGCATCTTCCATACAGTAACCATGTCTCGTATCTCAGCTGACCTGAAGAGCCCTTGTATTGGGCAAAAAGTCTCATCAGTGCTGAGATGAAACAGATAATGTGGACGACATATTACTATACACTCAGAACAGGGTTTATTTTAAGGAAATTTTAGAACTGCACAAATCTTTGAGGCAGGTGTCATGATCCAGTGTTTGAGATTCTCTGAGTCTGAGAAGCATTTGTTTTTAGATTATATGCTAGATACAACTTGGCATTATTTGCAAATCTTGAATTTATGAAAGTTTTACTGTTTTAGCCATCTTTTACCATGTAGTGTTTGACATAAAATGTAAATTAAAGTACAATTCAGCATAGTTTTGCATTTACGAGTGTTTTAAGTCTTTTAACCATCCTTTACCATGTAAACTCATGTTGTATTGTAGTATTTGACACAAAATGTAAACTAAAGTACTATTCAACATATGTAACACTAAAAATATATTTCTTGTCATACAAACAGTGTTTTAAGTTTTAACCATCTTAGTATTTGACAAAAATTTTAAAATAAAGTTCTAATTAGCATATGTAAAATTAAAAATATACTTCTTGTCATATAAACAGTAAATAATGGTACTTTTGCTTTTCAGTATCATGGTCATGCATTGGCTTCTTGTTTCTTTATATGACATTGGAGTTTTTATTATAAATTTTAGTACTGCACAAGTATGAGTCTACTGCACATTAAAATAAACCCTGACTCAGAAGTTATTACTAACAATTCCACATAAAAAAACTGCTACTCACTGATATAAGTACTAGAAATAATAATGAACATTTTTATACCCTTCCTGAAGGAAGTTCAGAATTCAATAAATCTGCAGCTTGTGTGGATACCTATAATCTAATTATAATGAAAATGAAACTGAAAGTAAAAATTTTGATAAGTCACAAGCAAAAACTAAAAATTGATAAAACCGATTATAAATAAAATCTTTGAAATTATCATATACAATTTGTTGACCTTACTGAGGAGCAAACCATTTATTTGGAATAAAAACCTTGGAAAAAAAAGTCTATAAAAATAAAATTCATGGTTCATGCTGAATTGCTAAGATGAATTTAAAACACTTTAAGGACTTTCTGATTATACTCAGAATATTTCTCAAGCACTTTTTAGAAGCTAAAATTTACATCAAAATTAATTAAATTCCATTTAAATTTCATAAAATTCCTATTTACTTGTTCAACATATGAATGTAGACTAGAAATAAATGCTGTTTATTGCACTCAACTCCTCAAAATGTATTAAGTTAAATATATCGATGTATTCTGCTATTATAATATTTTCAAGTACTTTTTCAAGCACTTTCAAGGATGCATATGCACCCTGAAAATTCCAAATAATCAACGTTTCTAGTTACACATAATGAACAAATGCATACAAATATACTTCACATTATAGTGTACATAAAAGAGGCTAAAATAAGCTAGTTAGAATATTTAAGACTTCCTGTCCAACTTTTAAACACAGTTATTACAGTGGTTCTTGCACTCAGACATAATCACAGGAGCAGTTAAACTTTAAAAAAATTCTTACATCACAAATTTACTCCAATACTATACCTCATAAGCAGCACCCAGGTCCTGAAACTTTTCCTGTGTCTTTGGATCATCTTTGTTTTTGTCTGGATGAAGTTCTTTTGCAAGTTTCCTGTAGGCCTTCTTTATCTGGTTAAGTGATGCAGAACGAGGAACTCCAAGTATTTGATAAAAATCTCTTCTGTAAGATACAACATCCACAAAATTTCAAGAAAACAAAATTCCTTACATGTAAAAATTCAGGATTTTTTATTAACTGTAAGTTTTAAATCACTATTAAAACAAAAGTGACACAAAAAAGGATTTTGTATGTTGAAAAAATCCATTAAAAGATATCAGGCACACATTTTTCCAACAATGCACAAAAACAGGTCTAAAGTAGAGACATTTAGAACACATTTGTCTAAAATGTACATGTTTGTCCTGTTGAAAACAGAGCAATAAAGGCAACATCACTAACATCAGTTAATATCTTGAAAGTCAGCCTTCAGTCTCATTCAAAATACAGAACTGATCAAGCACCTTCTAAATAATAGTAGCAAGTTTTTCTTAGGGTAGCTAATTCCATACTTCAAAGAGGACACCTATGACAACAGGAACATTGTTGGTCAAGGTGAATGTATCCTTAAAATAACATCCATTAAGTAGCAAGTACATCTGATCAGACTTGTATCCAGTGATTGACATACCAGGGTAACACTGAAGTTTCTGAACTATTTCTACTAGGTAAGCAATCATGCTCTGTGTGCTAATGTACCATCATCTATGAACATAAGTGTTCTTCTGTGACTATAAAGCAACTCAACACCCAGATATGTCAAACTGTTGTGACTGTTATGTTACAGAAAGAAAAAGAAAAACTTTTGAGTGACTACTAACCCAAACTACTTCCAACTCCATAACAAAATGCCCAACTTTTCAAAAAGGCCTACAGATGTTTATAAAAATTTTTCCTGCAAAGATCCACTAGATGAAATGTAGAAGTGGTACTTATGAATAAAAAAGATGGCAGTGGCCTAAGATGTCAAGAGGTTAATGCAGCAACTGGAAAGTTCACTACTTTCACTAGGTAATGTTGCCAGCTGGAAGAAACAGCTTGTTGCTGGCAGCATTCAAATAAGACCCCATATTGTAAAGATATTTCTCTGTTGTTATAGATAAGGAGGCATCTACAACAAGATTGGCTGCTTCCAACTATATTAAAACTGATTTTCAACTGATTGCCAATGTTAACTAGGTATTCTTTTTGTGGGGCCTGGAAGCCATCTTTGACCAGCCTTTTAATTTCCATAAACCATCTACATTTCCTGATATTTTTGGAGGAGGCATGTAAACTGATTTCATTGTAAGACCATCCCATGTTATATGAAGCATGGAATTCGCATAAAAGATTTGGAGGCAAACTGCATACCATCTAGACAATTTTTTAGTGTATGGTGGTCCATCACTAAGAATTTTCATGTCAAATTTCTTTGTAGTCTAAACTAATATGACCATACAAAGTACAAATGTCTGTACACTAGCTTGACTATAGGTGCATGCTATTTAGAGTTTCGTGCTTGAAAAATTTGCAAAATATTTTGTTACAATATGAAATATTTTGAAAGACATAACCTAATAAAATATTTTTATCTAACTTATCCTACACAAAATGGATTAAAATGTAAGGAAACTTTCTGTACCATCTCATCAAAAAAGCTTGCAAAATAGTTTTAGTACCACACCAGTTAGACACAAATTGTGGTTCAACTTGCAGCATTGTTTGTTAAGAATTTAAATCATTTTATTCTACAACAGTATTTCATAATTCTTTTACTAAATCCAAATGGTTCATTTGTTCATTCATTAAAGAAATAAAACTACAATTTATTACAAATACCACAATGGTTAAACTAATACACATTCTCTTTCTCAAAAGTTCCTAAATGTAACTTTTAAAATAAATTAATTAAAGAAAGCAGAAGATATTGTAAGTGATTCTACTAAATTTGTCAATACATATTATGATCGTACTGAAAAAAATGGAAGCTAAATTTCCAAAATACCTACTCAAACTTAAGAAAGATAATATTCTAAATGAGAAACAATATCTGCACATCAGGCCATCAGGAATATGTTTTTTTAACAATGTAAAAAGAAAACAGGTCAGAAATAAAGAAACATCAGAAAACAGACATCTAGAATTCACATACTTTTCCTACCAAAAACAGAGCAATAAAGACAGCATCACTGGCATCAGTGTTTCATAAAGGCAATAAAAATCTCACCAATTCAAGTATTAGGAATAGTAATCATCATTTCTATACCATTTCTGAAGCATCTCAACCCCTACTGTGTCTCTCATATCTCAGCTGGCCCATACAGTCCTTGCATTAGATAAAAGGTCTTATCAGCCATTGATGAAGCAGAGAGTATGGTTGATATATTAGTTTAAACTGTTTTTGTCTTTATAGATCTCTCACTAACTTCCTTCCTTCCTCTGTATCTGCATGTATATATAACATGCGACAGAAAAATCTAAAAATATTTATCCCTCTAATGACAATAATGATGTAACAAGAAATATGTAGAAGTTTCAATTAAGATGACAATAATATTACAAAAGCCTAGTACAAGAATTAAACTGCACACACAATGTACAACTCCAACTCGTACAGTTACATAACAAATCTTGTCATAACTGTTGGTTTAAAATAGTTAGTTTTTAATGGTCTTCTTATGAAAACTAAATAACCATTAACTATTAAGTCACTAAATAAACTAAATAATAATTTAAATTAAATAATCTTGTATATCCAACAGTGAAATTATTGTACCATGTTGCTAGAGCTTTCTGTTTTTCTCATTGGTTTAATTGAGTATTATTGCATCAGAATATCTTCTGTGTGGAATGTTCTAGATTTCTGTCAGGGTATAAATACAAATTGAAAAAATCATTATTTAGTTCTAGACTGTGGGGTTGTGAGTTTAGCAACAAAGAATGTATAGTGGCTATTTTTAAAGTGAAATTATCACAGACTGTATTGTAATAACAGAGCAGAGAAGAATATTTCTTCTTGTCAATTGTGTTCTAAAGTAACTGAACTAGACTGTGTGGACCTTGATGAAAAAAAAAGAATTATTTAAAGTTCTGGAAGCTAAATTGAAAAGATATTTACTAACATTGAAGAAAAATATTATTATCAATGAAAACCAATATATGAACAATAGACCCTCACAAATATGTTTTTTAACAATGTACAAAAACAGGTCAAACCTTCTACAAATGGTGTACATTTATTACTGTGTTGAAAATTAACATTTTACTTACCTGAAAATGTATTTCTGAGAGATACCCACCTCTGACTACAGAATAACTTGATTCCTTTGCACATCTGCCTGCGAGATTTGCATGGCACTAATCTTGAGGTACCTCCCACCTAAAAAAATGTGTTTAACATGAACTGTGCTACTGCATGATATCATCATCATGTGACAATAGCCCTCCATTAAAAGGAAGGTGAAACAACCTCTTTGAACTTGAATTAACTTCATTCTTAGACATGAAAAGAAGAAAGTGCACTGGAATTGGGGAGGACAGGTGGGAAAATGTACAGAGGTATCTACCAGAAATACACTTTCAGCTAAGTAAAATGTTAACTTCTAAAACAACAACTCATCTCCTCACACAGAATAACTAGAATCCCACACTGAAATGGTGGAGGGGCTGATGCAATCAGTAAACCTAGATAAGCTCTATAGTGGCACACCTGTGACAGCCCTCATCTCAATCAGGGTATACTCTTCACCTAGAAGGAAAGGCAAAAGAGCCCCAAGTGTTGCAGTGATGGATGGAATTTTACCATGGCCAGCCAAGTACCAGCACACAAGCAGTCAGTGAGCCAAAGTAATGTAATGTGGAGAGGGAGTGATCTGACTGTACAGTGTCTGGCTTTCACTCAACTAGACAGACACAGATGGGGGTGATGAACCCATCCTGCTCCAGGAAGAAGGCACACTAGCTGTTTGAGAAATCTCCTGGACTACAGATACAATGTACCCAACACCCTACTTTCCACTGTATTGTACAGTACACAATTAGTGAGGAACTCTTCAAGGTCCATCACCCCAACAACTAGGAAATGGTAAGTGGCAAGGAGGGAGAATTCACATTAAGGAAACTTGGAGAAGAGCCTGAATCCCCATCAAATATCTGCTGGAAAGGTCCCTTACAGGAGACAGTACAATGGATTACCATGAAATCCTATCTTTAAAAGCCTTTAAGAGTGAGCCAATAAAGTGGGAAGTCACTTTCTTGGTGCCGGCTTTTCCTATGTTAGTCCATGGAAGGTATGAACTTGATCAGGTGAGTGACTTGAATACCATTAGGATACCTCTAGTTGTCTTGTAGAACACCCACCTCAACAGTGAGCACTGGTATAGCCTAGAGAGTGGGGTGAGTACTTTCCATTACCCCTGGCCCAATGTGAATCTTGGAAAATAATCATAATCTTAAGAGGCAGCACCAGACACCTAGTGGGATCTTATAAAAAAGGAAGAAAATATATTTAACCTTCTCAAACACCGAATGGAGATTGAAGAACAAAGATCTAAGAGAATCAAAATCCCAAAGGATATGAAACAACTAGATCAGGGGTCTCCAAACCTTTTTGAACAAGGGCCGGGAAGTAGATCTTTTTTAGGCTTTGCGGGCCAGAGGGGTAGTGGTAAAATTAAGTTGGGATGCATACATGATCAGAATACAACATCACTAATTTGTTCCTGATAAGAGCAGATATAGAAAATAATTTAAGATGCATAATTGTCCTTTTTTAGCATTAGTGAGAAGCATGAAACTAGTGCTTTTCTGACAAAACTACACTTACTTGAGGTTCAAAGTTAGTACTACCTATCATCAAAAGTGATTGCAAATGCTCATCAGATAACGTTGATCTGTAACTAGATTTCACGTACTTCACCTTTGAAAATGTCTTTTCACTGAAATAGGTTGTGCCAAAAACTGAAATTAATCCACAAGCAAAGTTTTTAAATGAACATATCGATCACTTGGAAGGCATTTATAGAACTCTATCAGTTTCCCTTCTTTGTATTGTATTTGTCCTTCAACATGTTGTTGGATTGCAAATCAATCACTTACATTTGAACTTAAGGTGGCAGTTCATGAATAACATAATCAAGTGG